AAATGACCAAGTCAATGAAGAAAAAGAAAATTTTAATTTGTACCGGAAATCATACGGTTAAAAAATCATTTAGTGTTCTTTTGGATAATGGAATGCGAAAATTTGAAAAGATAAGTATATGATAGATCATTCATCTTTGATAGAAAGAAGTCACAATCAATTGTGTTCGTTTGATATGAAATCGAGCAACTAGAGGTGCCTCATCAATTGAGCTCAAAGTGGCAAAAAAAAAAAAAAAAAACTTCGTTGTGAGTGATTGAGACCTTGTCTTATGGTCAATAATTGCAACTTTAGAAGATCTCTTTTTCGTATACTATATGAAGCTAATCGCGGTCAAACCTTAAGCTTTTCCTTCAGCAAAATTTGTCCTTTAGTAGTGGTGAAAACAAAAGTTTTATAGCATGCAGTTGGTGAGGGAAGTTTATCAAAATACACCCAAGAAATGAACCATTTATTATTAAAAAAATATGTGATGAATTCATTTACTTCTGATAAAAAAAAGCCATAATTATTATTGACCATCAGATACAAAGCACCTTTGATCAAGCAAGACATATCAAACTTGATTCACTGGGGAGAAGATTTTGGATTAGTATTTCCCATGTTTGTTGAATGCGAAAGTGCTTCGTTATTTTAGAAGGTGTAACTTACCACAACTTCCAAAACAACGTAAATTTATGCTGCAATTTGGAAACCACAGATTCCATGGTACCCAATAGAAATCACCATTGCAAAAGTTGGTGGAAGAGGTGGCTTTGGAAGCTGCTTCTTAAATCTAGCTCATAGATGGATTTTGGATCCAAATTTTTTTGGGGATCATTAATCTCAACTATAATCATGACTTGAGAAAAATTTAATGTAAAAAAATATTTCTGCAATGATCTTCTATACAGTCTATTATATTTCTCTCTCTCTCTTTTTCTTCTTTTTTTAATCATTCCACCCATTTTATTTTTTATTGAAGGCATTATTTTTTCACATCCATTTTAGATATAAACACCTAATACCAATCCAAGTCCTTGACGCATAAAATACTTTTCCAAATACTTGACGCATAAAATATTTTTCCAAATTTAATTGGACAATAGTTTTTTAGGGTAATTAAGTGGGAAAAACAACTAACTCCTACCCATTGTTTTCAAATAGTTTATAGTTAGTTCTAGTAGAATAAGATTAGCTTTTTCTTGCAGGACTTGATAAATATTGTTTATAGAATAGGAATGGTCAAACCCAAGAAAAATCTTCGCCTTTTGGAGTCATGCATAATATTTCACAGGATCTTTGGGTTGAAATCATGCATAGTATTTTGTTTAAAAATAAACTAAATAGCTTTAAAATTCATTTTGAGTTTTTTAGGGCTTGGACAAATTCTCCACCAAATCAAAGATATACAATGACTGAAATGGCTGACTCAATTCTTTTTTCTAATTTACAGATGTTTTGAATTCAATCTTCCATTAAAAAAAAAATTTTGAACGTCATGATGAGATCTAGCGAGGAAACTTCATTTTTTTCTTATATATGTATACAGAGAAAAAGCACCATACGCAGCATCGCATATTGAGGGATGGAACGCCAACGGATGGGATTATGCTTTGCCAATCGTAGGGTCAAAACTCGTGCTCTACCATTTTGAATCAAAGGCCAAAAGGCGTGACACATCTTCAAAAGGGGCATGACATGTGATGTTAAAATGTACAAACATACAAAAGGACGGGCTCGACATCTCTTCAAAATTGAACACTCTCTCTCTTTCTAACAAAACATCCTCAATTTCCTCTCTCTCTCTCTCTCTCTCAGGTCACATTTTCTCATTCTCTCTCTACTGCATCACTTGTTCTCCCTGTCTCTCTCTAACTCTCTCTCTCTCTAACAGGCCACTTTTCTTTCTCACTGTCTTCATCTTTTATGTGACTGTTAAACTCTTCCCTTTCTCTCTCTGCTCGCTTCTGTAGTTCTAGCCACACGATAATTTAAACTTATTAGGTAAAGAAATACAATAAGTTACCAGGGAGCGAGGTAGTAATTTCTCATATCCAAAAAAAACCTATGGATACTTAAAAATATATAGTTGTAGTGCCGTTATTGCGACTTTTGCTACCTTTTTTAGTATTGCATCAAATAATTATGTTGAATTCCATGCGGTCAAAATAGGCATTGATCCTGCCCTTGCCCTTGAACTCAATTGTTTTGCACTACAACTTGAAAGCGATTCATCACTACTTGTGAATGCTATTCAAGGGCGATGGACACTCCACACAGTTGTAGCCAATTGCCGTCACAAACACTTAGATCATATATGGAACATTTCCCACATCTACCGCGAAGCCAACGTGGTAGCCAATATACTTGCCAAGAAGGGGGTATATCTCTATGTTGTTGCAGTTTGGCGTTATAGACCGCCCGACTTAATTTTTTTGTTTTTACTTTATAATTTGGCTAAATGATAGAGCTTAACACTATGATTTGCATCGTCTTTAATTTTATTTAATAAGAATAAAGTAGGGGGCCTTTTCACCAACTTACTTCCCCAAAAACAACTAAGCTTGTAAGTACCTCAATTTCTTTTTCTTGAGGTAATTTAATAGGGAAGATAGTACCCTATCCATTTTTTTTCAAATAGTTTTAGTTTTTTTTTAAAGTGATAGTAGGGTAGTATGAGTAGGGTCTTTTTTTCAAATAATTTAAAAATTATTATTTTTTAAAAGGTATTAGTAGGGTGTGTCCGTGTGAATACAAACCACAATGTGGTGATTAAGGTGTGGGGTGCTACCACTACAACCCAGCCTTTCTCCTAAAATACTTCAATCAAACCACCCAAAAATTGGATGTTTTGCATTTGAGCTTAGGATTCTTTTGGGAGAAATCTTCATAAGTTGCTATATTTAAAATAGAGTAATAATCTTATGAGACCCTCCCACATCGATGTGTGTAGGACTTTAAAGGATCATCATTAAATGTGGTGCAAATCTCTAGAAAAATTATGATATGAGTGTGAGACTTGATTTTTCTAGAGATCTGTATCAAATTTAGTGGTGATTCTTTAGAGTCCTGCACACATGGGTGTGGGAGGGTCTCACAAGGTCATTTTCTTTTAAAATATGCCTTAACTTTTACATTTTATACTAAAGTTCTTTCCTTTTTCTTTTTCATTTTTCGTAAAACTACCCCGGATACTGGGCACTTGGCCCGAGCTCCAAAATGTGGGCCAGCATTCCGAGGTAAAATGAATGTAGGTCCAACGTAAAGCTCATGCCTCGACTTCGATGATTCGACACTTATTTTTTTGTATTTACACCATTAAAAGTGGAATCTTTTTTTCCTTGGGGGTTATTCAACAGCAGAATTCGAACTTGAGATGTAACACTACTGAACTTCAGCTGCTAACCTCTCAAGCCCAAACCCATTCCCACTTTGGTTCACTCCTCCCTCTCTCCTACCCACCTTAGGGCAAATCCAAAGTTCATGTTGACACTCCACGTTTTGGGTATACCTGAGCTTCAAATCAGGTTCGCACATCGAGTGTTGACTGGAATCTAGAAAGTTGCGGCAGATCCAGAATGTGGAGTGTTCACTGCAATCTAGAAATTTGTGGCAGATCCAGAACGTGGTTCCCTACTTGAAGCACAAGTTGAGTTGGGCTGACCCGCACTTTGCAGCTCTGTAGCAAATCCAAAGTGTCCGCTGGCAATTTAGAGCCTTGTGGCAAATCCAAAGTGTGGGTCGCCCTGCAAATCCAGATCGTGGGTCTTTAGCACTTTGTGAGTCTTAAAGATACTGGCAGACAAAGTTTTAGGTGAGAGAGTCAGACTAAGCACATTATCTTTCGGCATTTCAAAATCCAAGTTTGAAATTTGTGTTTTTGGGAGGCAAAATCACATAATAGAAATATAATTTTATGACGCATTCAAAATCTCATATAAAATTCCCAAGTTATTGAATCACATATAAAAATAGCATCTTCATTCATAGTCAAAATTACATATGAACATACCATTTTAATGCGATCGAAACACTAAAGAGAAATCTCCAAGCAACATTCAAAAATAAATAAAAAAAACCAAAAAATAAAGAAAGAAAGAATTTTCATGCACAGGGAAACCCACTGGTGTGGGATTGATATTTTCAAGAAAAACAGTGACATTTAAGATAGTGGTCCTCTTTATAAAGGGAAGTGAGGGTCTCTCCATAGGAGGGTCACATAGCTTACCAGGTAAAGTTCATCTCCAAGCAGTGTTATGCACACGGTGGGTATGGTATATACAATATAGTAAACATATTAGTTATCACCACCATCCATTCTCATCTACGAAGGCCGAGATGAGTTTTTGTGCCCCTTGAAGTTCAGGTTACCCGTCAGAGGACACCCAATTCTCTCCTTCTTGGGGTGCCATCGGGCCGGGCTGGGCCTGGCTGGCTGAAGGAATGCAAGTCGGTCTTGGGCAGCCCTATCAGGCCCTCAGTCTGACATTCTGACTTGGCATAAAAGCCTGCAAATTGTCGGGTCAAGCTTGGTCATGCCCATATCCAGCCTATCGGCAGACCTACATAGGATTGCGAATCAGGCCGGGCCAGTCAGCAGGCTACCGGTGTGGGCTTAAGTTTCAGGCCGGGATCCCCCATAATCCTGCTAGAACTATGGGTCACACTCGGACCTGGCCTGGTCTGCAAATTTCGGGCCCAAGCTAGGGCCAAGTTTAGCTATTAAAAAATCAAGCCATCCATGAGCCGACCCTGGCCTGGCCCAAGCCCGTTCCATTGGCAGCCCCATCTCCACTATTCATTGATGGAGATGGACGGTAGATAGGCTGGTATATAGCATATGGATCGAAGTGACCCCAATTTCACATGATGATAGCCATATTTAGTGTTACGAAAATGTTTGCTATGCAATACCTTCTCATTTGCATATGGCATTCATACACTTGCATCTCATAATGTCCATATAATTTGAATGTTTTACTCTAGCCAACATCTAATGCATATTAAAATTCATGCAGTTTCATAGCAATATACATATGATGATGGCTTTCAAGCGATGGCTACTACTACCACTCTTGTTACTTTTATCAGTCCAAGCCTCTGCAGCCATTTACACAAAACCCCAAGAAGCCAAGGTTCAATCTTCAGTCTTTCTATCACCCAAATTCATTTTAACACCCGGATTAGCAAACAACACAGTTTACCTTGATATCGATTTCCCGAAGGGCCACATCGCCGTCAAAGATTTCATTGCAGAGTTGGTCGATGAAGACGGAAATTCGGTTCCCCTCTATGAGACTTACCTTCACCATTGGATTGTTTTTAGGTACTTTGTTAGGGAAGATGATAAGAATGGGAGTTCCATAGTGGTGGCTAGGAATGATGGTGTTTGCCAAGATGGTGCACTTGATTTCTACTTTGGCCTAGGAGCTGAGTCACGCAAAACGCGTACCTGGCTGCCTGACCCATATGGGATTCAGGTCGGGGATCCGGACAAGATTCCAAGTGGGCGTGATGAGAAATGGGCATTGAATGTTCACGCAATCGATACAAGGGGGGTTGAGGACCGGTTCGGGTGCACAGAATGCAGGTGTGACCCTTCTCTTTATGTTCCTTTTTCTTAGAAATTCTTTGGTTATAGTAAATATATCAGCAAATAACAGCCATTATATGAATTTACCAGTCACTATGTAGGTGATAACGATTCTCTATAGGGATTGTCTATAATGAGACTATTTATTTGTTACATGGAGGTCACAATCATTCTCGTCCCTTAATTTCAAAATGGGTGGTTGTTTGAGTGTCATTGAATATCACAAAGTTTCAAAAAAACAAATTCTCAGATTTTGGGACTTACCTCAAGCCATCCAATTTGATATCTAATGAGTGGGAATAGTTGTGACCTCTATATACAAATGATAAATGGTATCTTTATAGACAATCCCTTATCTATAACATAGGTCCTTTTAATTATAATGGGCTATAACAGTCTTTTAAAACCTCGCCACAGTCCATTGGGGCATCACTATCTGACATAATGATGCAGGGTTACAAGAATTTACCATGTATCCTTCATTACCATGGACAGTGGGACCCTATAGACTATGATTTTAATAGTCCATTGAACTATAAACTTTTCCTTCTTTTTTTTTGCCACTTCTTGCATTGACACTAATTCAATGGAGATTAACAAGGAAGAAATTATTAATGCAGGTGTGATCTGTTTAATGTGACCAAGGATAGCAATGGAAGGCCTATCAGAGATAATTATTTAGGAGGCTTGAGTTGTTGTTATGATGGGACAAGATGCAAGAGAAACGAAGGTTTGAAATGGTTGGGTGCAAGGGGATTGCACCTGAAATATACAGTAAAATGGGTGGAATGGGATCAGAGCATTGTCCCTGTTAAAATTTACATTTTTGATGTTACTGATACCGGGGAAAGGAGGAACTCAACCTCAAGCCAAGGTTTAATTGGTTGTCAGGTATACATGTGTCATTTTTTTCAATCCCAGTAAGCACTTAAAAATAGTGATCCAAGTATCACATTTACAACTCGGAATCACCCGAGTTGGATTGGATCAGGAGGCTAACAATTGCAGGTTAGAAAACTTAAAGAGTTTTATCTGATTTTTCTTTTTCTTTATTTGTTTTTGTTAAATGCACATTTTTAAACGGAATAGAGTGGTGGACCGGTGATTCCCCATACGTATTGATGAGAATTCTTATGTTCCATTCCCTTCATTGTCAAAGTTTTCTGTAGAGTTGCCTTGAGAATATTTCCTTTGGAAATTTAAGAGAATTTTGGTTTAATTTGGTATGTTGGGTGCAGGTGGAGTATGATGTTCTTCAATCTTGCAGTGAACCCAAGTGCATAGACAACAAGAAAGTGAGCATTGTGATGCCCAATGGAGGAAATGTTATTTATGGGGCAGCTCACCTGCATAGGGGTGGAGCAGGATCTACCCTTTATGGCCAGGTAAAGTTTGATTCTTATCATCAGTTAGAGCTAAGCACCAATTTCTCTAATATCCTTCATGATTCAGCAGCTCATTTGCTTTATGTATGCAGTAACGTCAAGACGTACTAACTTTTTGATTGTTAACTTTAGACAAAATCATGTGTGCTATATATATATATATATATATATATATATATAATTTTTTGATTGTTAACTTTAGACAAATCGTGTGTGCCAATATATGTATATATATAACTTTTTGATCGTTAACTCTTGACAAAACTATATCTGTCTATATGGGAAAAGTTTATATAGAGCCGAGGCTCTAAACCATCAAATTAGTGCCACCTCAAAAATTCACTAGAAGAGGTTCTTTTGATTCCTAAATATCCTCAAATTGATCATCTCGATATCAAGATGCACGGGCATGAGAAAAAAATAGATTTTAAGTTCTGGAAATAGGATATTTTGTAACGTATTTTTGGACCGTCAATTTTCAAGATTCCAAGTTTTCATAGATTTGTCGATGTACACTATTTTTGAAGCTTTAAACTATATAAATAAAGATGAAAATATGTTTTAAGGCTATCACAAAGATTTCCAGTATTGAAACCACATTTCTCGACACTATTTGAAGGTAGGCTCTAATTTGATTATTTAGAATATATCTATGTGTGTATGAAATGATGTTGTGCGTCCAGGTGCATACTATTACAACGCCCACAACCCAGATTGAATATGGGCCTATCTGACAATCACGAATGTTCGATAGTGTTTGAATTTTAATTTTTTCCTATAAATCCAAATCACTTGAAATTTAGTCGTGTGTTCTTAAAAAATAGGTGAATCTAGAAAAAAATATCAAAAAACAATTTTACATGAAATACATTGACCAAAATACCCCTGAAAAGTTTTGGGGGTATTTTGGTCAATTTGTTTTTTGTGAATTATTTTTTTAATATTTTTTTAGCTGCGCCTTGTTGAGAAGAACACAAGCCAAAAATTTCAAGTGATTTAGATTTGCAGAAAAAACAATTAAAATTCAAACACTATCAGACATCCGTGATGATCAGATTGGCCACAGAATGGCCCAGATTCAATCTGAGCCATTCGCATATGGGCGTATAGGTATAGAGCAGGACTCC